TTATTTTATTAATTGTATTTACCAGTACAGCATTTGATTTGTTTCTGCATATTCATATTTAAATAGGAAACACTGAAAAATTCTAGTCTTCTCCTGTAGTTTCAGCAGGGAAAATTGGTATATGACAAATAAATACAACTTATCTAGAGACTGAAATAACACCTGCACTTCGAAAAGAATCTCATGCTTTTGGATATGGTTGCTAAGAAAAATGGTAACTCTGCTTAATCCTTCCTCAAATAATCTCTGACCTTTATAATCTCTGGACTATGACACTTGTTTTCATGTGCAATGAGAGATCAGAAGGACACTTCTTGCTCTTAAGCCCATATACCCCATTGTACTGTAATAAAAATGAAATATCAATTGATGCATCATACAAAAAGCTTAGTGTCAGATAAATCAACTCGAAAGCTTTTGGTCTCCCTCTTTGATCTACTGGCTGCAAGGCTTTCCTTAACAGCAACCATGCAGGCTTTGGGAGCCCAGGAGTGCAAAGCAGCAGAAAGATCTTAAGAAGGGAAAAGGTGTTAGAAACATCTGAGGGCCACAGCCATCTTCTCATACAGCCAACCTTCCAGTGACACCAAGGGAACAAAAGGATGCATGGGGGTGATGCCTGCATGTGTTTCTGGGTACACCTGGGTGCAGTGAAAGAACAATTATACTGGTCAGCTCCAAATACTGTCCACAAGGGAAAACACAGGGCTATGTTTTCCTCTGGGAGCTGACTAGGGAGAGATACAGTAACATAAAATACCTGTTCTCAGAAGAAATATCCCTGAATAGAAGAAACCATGTCTTCAGGAAACATATAGTTTAATTAGTTACACAGAAAAAAAATTTCCAGATACATTAGTACATGGCCACGTATGTTTACAGATTTAACTTCTGAAGCTGTGAAAGAAAAAAATTTGAAGACTGCTGGCGTTTGTAGTGCCATAGTAAATGGTAAATATCATTAATGTTTTACCCCATTGTGACAGACAGAAAACCAGCATTTGAGCCCAGAATCAGATTAGTTTAATTCCTTCTAATGCCTTCCCACTGCCTGGCTCTGGGCAGCTCCCTGCTTACTGCCAAGTTTATCCCCTCTGAATTTTCTGTGGCCTTTAGAAAGGCCTGTTTCACTGACCAAATATCAGCACCAAACAAGAACTCGGGCTGTTTGCCTACATCACATGAAAACTTCCACTTCACCATCACTTCTAGTGAAGGTAAACTGAGCATCCACAGCAAGAACCTTGGAGGCCAAGGAATAGTGCTACTGGACTAAGGAACACCCTGGCACAGGGCACGGAGCGATAGTTAGCTGATGCCATTACACAAACTCTTCCACTGCACTGAGATAGTTTCCTAAGTAGATATTTTTCGCACATCAATAAAAACATAAACATAGGGAACTTCATCCTTCCCAAGGGTTAAACACGATTCTCAGATTCCTCGGTGCGGCCATGCCTTATCGGGTGCTATGGTCATGCTGCAGCCCTGTCAACAAAGTGAAGTGACATCAAAAGCTGTTTGCTCCCACAGCATGGCCTCCTCCTCGAGATAAAATCTGGCTCCTATGAGGCTTCCACAGGTACTGGTTTGAGCATAGTGCTGGCCCTGATGTGGACCAACAGCTTCCAGATGCACGCCGAGTCTCTTGGCAAAGCGGTACTCATGGCTTTGTGGTGCCGCTGCACGCTTTGCAGGAGCAGGAGGACGACAGCAGGGCACAGCACTTATATGACATCCCGAATAGGTGCACAGCTCATTCAGCCCTTTCCATCAAACCATCTCCATCCATGTCTTGCCCAGGGTCAGAGCAGGGAAAGCCTCTCCATGCAGAGGCAAACAACATCTGCTACCAAAAGCCTCCACTATGCCAGATGAATGGGGAAGCAAAGGAAAACACATCACTTTGGTGACCTTGATTGGGGCTTTTTTCCATGTTTATTTACTTGGCACTGTTACGGGATGTTTCCATTTATAAAGTCTGAAAAATTTAAAACTTCTGTCTTTGAAAGTGGCAATGAAATAAATAAAGCATGAACATAGAAGACAATAAACATGAATGGAAGAAAATCAGATGTGAAACAGCAACACAGTTACAGAGGTGACCATCTGATTTGCTTTTTGTCAGCCAATGCTTTTTTTTCCTCACATCCAAAGTGAGCCTCATAGGCAGCCTGGCCAGGTGCAGATGCCATATGCTTTTCCTTTTCTCCCCAAAGATTTAAAAAATGGTTTCTTTCTTCCTATTTCTGTGACAAATCACTCTTCTCCAGTCCAGAAGACTCTCTAAGGCCTAGTGGAACTAAGCATGAATCTATCCTGAGGAATCTGTGAAACTAAAAATGAAAAAAAGTATCAAGTATCTGTTGGTCTGGGACTAACAAATATTCTGAAAGAGAAAGATTTGCTTAGGATCTGAACATCCCATTCTTTCAAAGGAAGGGAAAACAGGATATCTGAGACTTCACTTCAGTGATCTCTGAATAGAAGAAGAGAATAGAAGCTGTTGCTGACATTTGCATTTGGGCACAATGTCCCAAGGACTCTTGGCTCAGGGGATGCTCTTCAAAGTAAAGCCCACATATATCTTCCTGAGCAGGGGGAAGAGAAGGAAAATATGGGGAATTTTCAAGTATGCTTTAAAAACCCTAACAAATTAAACCAAACCAAAATGGATGAGAGGACACCATATAAAAGATAGACCCTTTCCATAATGAATACACCAAACAGAGGACAAATACATTCTGTGAAGAGGTATTTTAAACCAAATTTAACAGGGTTAAACTACAAGTGCAACTTAATGACTTCACACTGAACCTTTAATGTAATTTGCTTTTCCCCAAAAAGCTTAAGCTATGACTTCACCTGGAGCAACACAATGGTGAGAAACAACGCGTGCTACCCAGGACATGTCTTCTCCAAGGCTTTCAGTGTCAACAGTGGGCACAACTCTGCTGCATCACAGCCTGGTATACAAATATCCCAAAGCAAATTTCCCAGCCAACTGCATGACACAGCCTCAAGTTGCGCCATGGCAGGTTCTAATCATATATTAGGAAAATTTTCTTCACCAAAAAGATTGTCAAGCGTAGAAATAGGCTGCCCAAGGAAGTGGTGGTGTCATCATCCCTGGAGATATTTAAGAGACGTGTGGATGTGGCACTTAGGGACTTAGGCTTTAGTGTGGACTTTGTAGTAGTGGGTAAATAGTTGGACTCGTTGATCTTAGAGGTTTTTTCCAACCTAAACCAGTTGGAAAACTTCCATGAACTGGTGGAGTCACCAGCCCTGGAGGTGTTTAAGAAAAGACTGGAGGTGGCACTTAGTGCCATGGTCTAGTTGACATGGTGGTGTTTGGTCATAGGTTGGACTTAATAATCTCAGAGGTCTTTTCCAACCTAACTGATTCTGACTATGACTACGTAACATGTGACATGTGACATGACTATGTAACACCCATCATGATCTTTGGAAACAGAGAAAGAAATGCCACAGTAAGCTGGAGACTTTAGTATTTAAGAATGCAAAGAAATAAAGACTTCCTCACATGGTGAGGTCTCTTTAATTAGCTTTATAACCACACTTGAGAAAATGTAACCCTTGTCATATCTCACTGACAGAGCAGCACGCACACAAAGTGCTTTACAGAAGTTGTACAGTTCACAATCTGCTTGGAAGCACCAGTGCCTATTAATGGGGAGTCAGGCTATCTCACATATTTGTGCAAGGGTTCATCATCATGAGCCATACTTGTATTTGGAAGCTCAACAAACACACTGGATGGAGAAGCAGCCTGAGCCACTGTGCACTCTCATTGGAATACACTGTGCAAATGCAGACAACCTATTATTTAGCACAAATAAACAGTAAATAATTATTCTAGCCAATTAATTGTCAGATTAGTTCAGATTAGCAGTAGAATTTTGTCACTTCAAACATACTGTGGATCACTAATGAGTTTTGCTCATGAGTTCCTTTTTCATGAAAATACCTTTGTAGGCAAATTCTTAAGAGAATAATTAAAAAAAATCAGAAAATAAATGGGTGATGGAATCAAATTCATTAAATGTATTCACTTTTCCTACTCAAGCCTATCCATTACCTATTGATTTTTTACTGCAATGAGAAAAACAAAGGAGCAGCACAAGCCACTTATGTCTGCTAGGACTGAGGAGTTCTTTCCATGGGCCTGCTATGCTTTCATGGAGATCCTCAGACTTCTAGATCTTGCAACAATGCTGTGATCTGGAAAAATCCTTTCCAGAGTTGACTTTGAGAGATGTGGGTTTCTGCACTCACAACTGGGCTTGCAGTGTTACAGAAAGGAAACAAAAGCATGTGGGATGACTATGGAAATGAACATTAATGGTTTCTATTAAGATAATTTTGCTTCAGTTAGAATGAACACCAAGTCAACAATTATACATGAAAAATTAGCTTTTATTACAAATGTTTAGTAATAAGCAATGATTTTTCAATTTTTTTTTAACTTACTAAACCTAAAGATACAAAGTCAGAAGCAAACAAATTGGTTAAAATCTTACTGAAGGTTAACTTGCCAGTAGTTCTATCAGGTTTTCTGCAAGGCTTTCTTTTAAAATATCTTATTTATTGTACTATTGACTTTACAGAGATGCTCATCCTCCAGTAGAGATATGCAGTCACCAACATGGATGATTTGATTCATTTATATAAACGGAAGAAAGAGAAAATAAGTTGTGTCCATCTCTGAGTATAAAACTTATTTCCCTATGCTATGCTTGCACATTAATTTAGAGCTCCATACTCTGGCTGCTGAAGCCAAAGGCAGCTCTCACTGACCACAGTGTGCACCATACCAGAATGGAAACATTACTGATTTCATTGAATTGGTGAAAGTATTCTTTGGTCACAAACATCCTCTATCTACACAGTTTACACTACACCAGATGCTATTTTTCACCCATTTTAAGTAGCTTGTTTACATTTGTTTTACTCCACAGTGTTTAGATCTTTTTCCTTGCATATATAATCCATTCTTGTGTGCATGCATGTGCACAAAAATTGAGTTGTTTCTATGCAGACACATCAGGATTGAAGAAAGGATGTCCTTCTCATATCTTTCAGATGTCAGACTGCAACAGCTCTAGTCTAAAATGGCCTTTCACTGGAGTCCCTCAGGATAAGCAATTAATTTTTAGAGTGCCACATTACTACAGTTTTCAGAATATGCAAAATATGAAATTTGTGATAATTTTTGCTGCACTGCCTATTACACTGTAAAGCCACATCATTCAAAGTCAAAGTCGTATTTTTGGTGTGAAAAGGTTGAGATAGAGAAAGGGAAAATCTAGCAGCTAAGGACGCAGGTAAGAGTGTCTGGACAACGACACTTCACTTAAAAGGCACACCAAGAAAAGGCAATCTAGGTTCCTCTCCTGATGGTTTAAATCTGTTTTATATTTTTTTTTCTGACATATATGGATATGCATATATATGTGTGTATAGCTACACAAATCTATGTATGCATGTATGCACGCACATCTTTGAGTTTTTGAGAACAGAAAGTTCAAGAAGCAGAAATTACTTTAAAATAAATAAGAACCATATTGATGGGGGGATGTTGGTACTGTTATTTTTTTCCTGCATTATGATTATAATCTAATGACGCAGTGACATGATTATACCATTTTTTACTTTACACAGTTTCACTGTATAAATGTGAGGCATAAGACTACCAGGTTCATTTTATCTCACCTAAAGTAATTTTTATGGATCTTCTATGTTCTTGCATCTTCACAAGGAATGGTCATTGCTGTAGGAAATACGAAGAGAGTTGAGGGTACGGATGTTCTAACAATCAATCAAGATTTATTTGACTCTAGGGTTTACATGTCAGAGCGTGGTGTACATGCAAACACGTAGAGAATGACAATGACAACAATGGCTCAAACCCAAGTCCTGGTCCCAGCACGGCTGTAGAATGCTGATCTCGTGAAAACTTTTGGTTTCCTTTTGCATAAGCTTTGTGATATAATGCACCATTTCCAAAATCTGCACTGTTCCATCTAAATGGTCCATGTATGATGACAGTAAATGTTAAGAGGTATGAGATGATTACTAACTTCCAGAAAACATTTAACAGAAGATGCCCATACAGTAGTCACCATTAAAATTTTAACAGTTAAAGGTTGAATGTAAAGATCTTTTCAGCTGTATTGTATAAAGAAGTATGACTATCACAGTGAAGTTATTTACATAAAAGGCAACAATAGTAAATATTTCAATAGAGAACACAGTAGATTGTTCAGAAAGTGGATCACGTTTTCTGCTAAGTATGAAATATTTCTTGCAATTTTGCAAATTCTACCTACTAGGTATTTCACAATATAAACCGGATAGAATAACTTGTAAAAAGTTATTAAGAGCTTGGTCCTGCATTTCTGATTCCCCAAAATCTACCAACAGAAGACTACAGGAATATTGCATGTTTAGTGACTGCAGGACAAAACTCTCAGAGGACTGTAAAATGTTGCTTCTTTTCTGTACTTATTAAATATAAGTATTAATTTTATTTTCTTTGGCTTTTAAATTACTATCCCTTTGTAACTATAATGTGAAAACAAAACAAACTCAAACCACTAATGACTCCCCTCTCCCCTCAAAACAGTGATAAAGAAACCCAAATGAACCAAAAAAACATCAAAAAAGTGTAGCTGTTACTTCATTATAAAACTATGGTGCAAAATAGAGGTTTCTACTGGTCAGAATTGCAACAGCAATTGGAAGTTTACACTGAAGGAGTGACTGCAAGTATTGCTTCTTCTGAATAACAAAAATCAGAACTGATTAGGCACTTGTTTTTTGTTTAACGACAGCTGACTCAGTGTGCGTAGAAATGACAGAAATACTCTCTAAAAATCCTCTGTAGTGTAACAACTGTAACTGCACAACTACAACCACAGTCCCTGATTCAGGAGAGGAGAAGAACATGTGCCTGTTACTTACTTTCTGCTTAAATCCTACTGGTACAAAAGGGCTGGATACATGTTCAAATGCTGTCCTGAATAGGGATGCTTGCTGAAATTGGAAATTTTTAAAAGATAATAAGAGCGGTGAGCAACTTTTCATTATACTGTAATACCAATTTTATCTAATCTGACTCTGCTCTCCACAATATTATCCTAATACTTCCCAACATAAAAGGGAACAGGCATAAAATAAATAGGATAACCAAAGATTACATAATAAATATGCTACTAAGTGGAAGAAAAATACATTGCAATATAAGGCTCGGTAGTGTTGCACAATCAAGAAATCATTCCAGGTGCTCCAAAACGCAATTCCCAATGTACAACACCAAATTACCACTATACACCTGAAAAAGATTGGGAAGCAACAGATTAAACTTGTATTACATTAAACATTTGAAAATGCAAACAAATGGTGATGTGTTTCTCTGCCTTTGCAGAGTACCATATGTATATTCTTTCACTGCTCCAATTGTCATTGCTTGTGAAGGAAATTTCAACAGACTGGGTTTTTGAAAACTCTCATAATCCAATTCCTTCAAACTGTTACAAAGTTACCAGTGTCCACAGTGACTCATCGTATTATGTCTGAAAGTTAAACAAACTCAGAAATTTTGCTGCCTCCGTTTCTTTGCATCCATCGCATCGAGGATGGGTTGCCTCTTTGCGGTGTACCTCTGACGAAGCTCCTCAATTTCTCGCTCCATCATAGGGTCCAAAGCTTTTAATCTCATTTGTAATTCTTCCAAACTCAGATTCTTTAACTGTAAAACAACCAAACAAAAGAACAACCACAGAAAAAAAAAACACCATTAAAAAGTGTTTACAATAAAAATGAAACCCACTACCTTCCATAATCCTTTAATTTACAGTTATAGTGTTTTTACACACTTTGAGTGTATGTATACATATATATCACCATTAATACAACCAAAAGCCTTAGTATTCTCCATAGTAAAAAATCTAACAGCATGGGAAAACAAACACACATAGTACATTTAATTAAAAAAAAAAATCACTTTGCAAACCTTGCAAATAAATTGCAAATAAATATAGAGCTGGAGTTTAACTCATTAGGCTGTTACGAATATAACAGCATACACAGTTATATTCAAGTATATAAATTATACTGCCTAATCAAATACTTCTTACTGAACATCAGTCTCCTACAGAAGCCTGAAAAAAATAGACAGCTGCTGTAAGTCATAGTCTGACAGATATTCAGAGGTACTTTCTGATAAGAATGACAAGGCACCTGCCTTCCTCAACAAACTGCTGCCAGAACCAGTCAAAGCAAATTGCTAGCAAAGTGTTTAAATAATACATGAAATAACGTCCTCAATTCAAAGGGGGGGTTACCTTTGGCCAAGTTCTTTTCTTTCTACAAATATTTTTACACAATGTTTAACAGTTCATTACATTTCATTCAATAAAAGCGACTGGTCATACAACAAGTAAATCACTTTGCTGTCTTGCTGGCTGCTGCCAATAAAGGCTGGAGTCTTGTCAGGTACTGGGGCATGTAAGGCACTCCTGCTCCACCTGCTACGCCAGAGAAGAATCTACATTTGAAATGTGTTCCTTTGTCTGGTCTATGTATTTTTTTCCTAATGTAGCTTACTGCCTTTCTGCGTTTCTCTCTTGTCAGAATTGCCTATGTGCCAATTATTCTTCAACGAGTATGAAAAACAGCACAAATAATTTCCTCCTAGGAAAGGGGTAATCTTTATTTTGTTTGCAAATATTCTGACATTGCAAACAAGCATACTACCTAACTCACGGGTAAAAAAATACTAATTTTTTGAATCAATTACTAATGAGTCAATACTTAGTTCATGAATCTAGAGCAGGCTTCCATCAACACAGTCTGATCAGTTTTCCCTGAGGAATGAAATACTACTTTTGATCTTTATTTTTATCAGTGATTGAGGCATATAAATTAGCAACACATACTGCTACATACAGTCCAAACCTAAATATTATGACTTCTACTGACAGACCACATTGTACATACTAAACAAATAACTGAAATTCATAATAAAGAGAGGGGGCATATAAGAGCATATGGAAAAGATGCACATTTTCATGCAACATCATTTTAACCATAAGATTCCTTATGAAGATGAAAATTAAACCCCAGATGTCAAAATATCTTTGGAGACCAAAGATCCTGAGACCTGTATGAGCTTCAGAGACCTCGGATGTGTTCAACAGCTCATTGGCAATGCCGGTCTCACAGAATCACAGAATCTGCCGAGTTGGAAGGGACTCACAAGGATCACCGAGTCCAACCCTTAGCCCTGCACAGGACATGCCCAAGAGTCACACCATGTCCCTGAGAGTATTGTCCAAACACATCTTGAACTCTGTCAGCCCCTTGGTGCTGTGACCACTTCCCTGGGGAGCCTGTTCAGTGCCCAAACACCCTCAGGGTGAAGAACCTTTTTCTAATATCCAACATAAACCTTCCCTGACACAGCTTCAGACCATTCCCTTGGATTGTGTCGCCGGTTGCCACAGAGAAGAGATCAGTCCTGCCCCTCCTCACAAGAAGTTGTAACTGCAGTGATGTCTTCCCTCAGCCTCCTCTTCTCCAGGCTGAACAGACCAAGTGCCCTCAGCTGCTCCTCATATGGTTTCCCCTCAAGGTCCTTCACCATCTTTGTTGCCCTCCTTTGGTCTCTCCCAAAGACAAATGACACCTTTAGTTTCTTAGGAAGGCAAGAGTAGCCTCCCAAGGAATCAAATGCCATCCAGTTTACTGTACTTCTCCCATTCAATATATAGCAAAAAGGATGGGGAAAGGAATTCCTCAGTAACGAAGACTTTTGCAGAGAAACCTTTTCATTTTCAGAGAAAGAAAAGACTGAAAAACTGCAGCATCCTATTTAACTTTTAGCCCATTGGTAAATGTAACTGGCACATGACACACTTTTCAGTGAAGATACTCTTTCAGAGGAGAGAAGTGTCAGAGATTTGAAGGAAAATGAGAAGAAATGACAGTGTCGATTCCCCTGTTTAACTGATCCCAACACAACACAGATAAGAGGACCAATAAACCCACTTTTTTTGCACATGTGATACAAGTAACATATTTGGGGCTCCACAGACCAGCAAACGGACTAAGACAGGCACTGAATAATCTCGTGTGTGTCTTGTGAGAATCTCGTGTGTGTCTTGTGAGAACTGCCACTGATGAACTCTCCTACCCACTCTGGACCAGCCTGGACAGCCATTTATTCCCTCTCAGTCACCAGTGTAGACATCAAGCTCAAACTGCATAGAATAGACTCCAACTGATGTAATCACGTAATTATTCTGCACTGGAAAACATTTTTTCACAAATTATCAGAGAAGAATGTCGTGGGTGAGTTTTTATTTAAACTTCAATCAAGAAACAGAGCCAGCAAATGGAATTAACTATTCTTTAAAGATCACAGACAGCTGGGATGGATATTAAAATATAAAGAGAATGAATTTTTTGAGCCAGAGACTAAGAATCTTTCAGAATCACCTCAGACATGTCACCAAGGGGATCCAGGGAGCCACAGTATTCATCTGTATGAACTGCTGAGACTCAGGACATTTGAATAAAGGAAGTGGTAGGAAACAGGGGCATTAAGAAACTGGAGCTAAACAGGAGTTTGGAAGGTCTCATCTGACATCAGATGAGAAAACCACTTAAGCAGTCACAGCTGAATCTGGGATATGTGTGTGTGTGTCTGTGCACATATTTGTCTCCTTGGCAAATTTAAAAATTTTTTTTTCTTGACTTGTGACTGTTCCACAGATACTACCTCACAAACCCTGCAAAAGTCTAAACACTGAATGCAACAGCAAATATACCAAACAAGATGTGCAGATACAACTCAAACAAGATATTTCATTACTCTAATGTAATTTATTCCCCTGCGTGATAAATATTTCGATTAAAATTTTTAATGTGATTGAGCTCAGCATTCCTTTACTTTCAGTTGCAAACAATTTGGAATTTAAACTGCCATAAATAATTCACCATGTAGTTTGTTGTAACTACTGGGGCTACTGGCAATAATAGGAAGGGTGAGGAGAGCATTCAGTGATGCAAGCTGAAGGAATTCAAAAAGGCTTTAAATTATATTTCAATAGCTGTTTAAAAGCTGTGAACTGGAACAATTCAGTAATTGTTTGACGATGATACATAGTTCAATTTCTGTCACTTTTCTAAAATAACAGAATCAACTGTGTCCTTTCTGAGATCAAACACCTACAGCCACACAAGAGACAGCAATTAGTGTCAAGATGGGCCACTTTCAAGACAGAGGTCTTCAGTGAATGGGGGTTTCTGGTAAAAACGTTTGCCTTCACTGGAGCCCTTTATTTCAGTAGATAATCACATGGGTTTGGGAAAGGAACAGTCCAAACTTCAACTTCAAGGAAGCAAAACCACCTCCAGAGGCAGATGACTTTGAATAATTTCTTCCAGAAGCTGATGGATTCTCAGGACATGGTCACACTCAAAGAAGCCTCCTTGAAATTCTCTGCTGTGCTTTGCTAGAGCAAAGCAAAACAACTTTGCCTCCATAAGTCATCCTTGCAGGACAAGCTCCCAGTGCTGCAAGCTGAGTGCCAGTTGCTTCTGTCTCTACCTTCTCCCCTCCCTGATCCAGAGGGAAATCCTAGTGGGAAAAAGGCACCTATCTTTCGGCAGCACAAACCTGAGCTGGGACAAATAGCACGGAATAAAAGCATAATTGACCTTCTAAGCGAACTGTAAATTTCACTTATAATCTTTGGAAAAGGTAGCTTACCACACACTCAGGAGACCAGAAAGTCTGGAAACCTGCTGCACCTTATCTCAAATTTTAGCAAATGGGACACCAATAATTTAACTCCTCCTTGCTTATTTTCGATTTATTTGTAATAGGGTTAGAGGCTTTTCCAGGAAAGGCTACATGTAGAAGTTGAAAAGCAGCAGAAGAGAATCATTAGCAAGCTTTTCTTACTGTGACTGTCATCATTAAGTTGGGATACAGTAAAAATCCAAAAGCTGATGCAGCTCCAGGCATGAAGTGTTCCACTTGTGATCAGAGCGCAGGTCAGAGCTACAAGTGTTCCAGAGACAGTGCACTGCCCTCGTGTGAAGGTGGAAGGAACCACTGCTAATCAGTCGGGGGGGTTAAAATAATCCAGCATATTGGTTGAATATCCAGCAAGGTTGGTTGAATAGAGTGCAGATCAGCACTGCATCAGAATATTTCATACCATAGTGAGTTGACCCTGGCTGGCTGCCGGACACCCACCAAAGCCACTCTATCACTTCCCTCTGCAACTGGACAGAGGAGAGAAAATATAAAAAAGGCTCATGAGTTAAGGTCTGGGAGAGATCACTTACCAAATACTGTCATGCGCAAAACAGACTCAAATTGGGGATATTAATTAAATTTATTATTAACAAAACCAGAACAGGATAATGAGAAGTAAAATAAACCCTAAAACACATTCCTCCCACCCCTCCCTCTTCCCTGCCAGTGGCACAGAGAGACAGGGAATGGGGGTTATGGCCAGTTCATCACATGCTGCTCCTGCTGCTGCTCAGGGAGAAGAGCCCTTTCCCTGCTCCAGTGTGGGGTCCTTCCCATGGGAGACAGTTCTCCACGAACTGCTGCAATGTGGGTCACTCTTCCATGGGGTGCAGTCCTTCAGGCACAGGCTGCTGCAGTGTGGGTCCCCCACAAGTCCTACCAGGAAACCTGCTCCAGCACTGGTTTCCCACAGGTTCACA